CACACAAATATTGGATTGCCTGTTTATTTCGTTTTCTGTCCATAGGTGCTTGGAGCTCTCTGTAGCTGTCATCTGTACCGAGGTCTTCTGGCACAACTGTCTTCCTGTCATTTTGTCCTCCTCCTGGGACTTCTGTCTCTTCTATGTTGGATACCCTTTCTTTTTGGACCACATGTTTTCTTTTATATCTCATTTTATTGGAGCACATGCTTTGAGACCCTTGATGTATAAAAACGTCTTTCCTCTGTCTTGGTACTTATTTAATGGTTTGCTTGAGGATAAAATTCAAGATTGGAAATAGTTTTATTTCACAGTAAGCCTTTGCTCCATTGTCTTTCTTGCTCTGTCACCCAGGCTAGAGTACAGTGGCGTGATCTCAGCTCACTGCAACCTCCACCTCTTGGGTTCAGGCAGTTCTCCTGCCTCAACCTCCCAATTAGCTGGGATTACAGACATGAGCCACCACACCTGGCCTTTTTTTTTTTGAGACTGTCTCACTCTGGTTGTTCAGGATGGAGTGCAGTGGCTCGTTCTTGGCTCACTGCAGCCTCGACCTCCCAGACTCAGATGATTCTTCCACCTTGGCCTCCCATACAGACACTTGCCACCATGCCTGTCTAGTTTTTTATGTTTTTATTAGAGACGGGGTTTTGCTAGTTGCCCAGGCTGGTCTTGAACTCCTGGACTCAAGCAGTCCACCCGTCTCAGCCTCCCAGAATGCCATGTGAGCCACGTGCCCAGCCACTTTACTGTCTTACATTGTTGAGAATGCTTTTGCCAGTTTTCCATTCTCATTCTAGACTCATTGTATGTTATCTCTTTTATTTATTTATTTATTTATTGGTGACGTTTAGCATCTTCTCTTCATAATATTTGTAACCTTCAAGAGGGTTATCCTTGGTAAGGGGTTTTACTTATTTACAGTCCTCGTTCTAGGCATTATTGGGTCATTTTAATCCATTTTTCAATTCTGGGTAAATTTTCTTCAATTATTTGATAATTTCAGCCTCCCAGTCTTTTTCTTTTTCTCCTTTTGTTCTGTGCTCTGGGGACATTTCATAACTATTATCTTATAACCTCTCCATTGGATTTTTGTTTCTGATGCCCTGTTTTTAACTTCCAAATGCTTCATTGGGCTGGGTGCGGTGGCTCAAGCCTCTAATTGCAGCATTTTGGGAGGCTGAGGAGGGCAGATCACCCTGAGGTCAGGAGTTCAAGACCAGCCTGGCCAACATGGCAAAACTCTGTCTCTACTAAAAATACAAAAATTAGCCAGGCATAATGTCAATCGCCTGTAATTCCAGCTACTCAGGAGGCTGAGGCAGGAGAATCACTTCAACCCAGGAGGCGGAGGTTGCAGTGAGCCGGGATTGTACCATTGTATTCCAGCCTGGGTAGCAAGAGTGAAACTCCCTCTCAAAAAAAAAAAAAAAACACCTAACTAAATACTTTGTTGTTGTTCTTTTTAGTATTAGACTTTTTTTTCCTCAAAGTGTTGGGATTACAGGTGTGAGCCACTGTGCCTAGCCCAGTTTCACTCTCTGAAAGGCTCTGGGCTATAAATGTCACACATCACCTTTGTTTAGCTTCTGCTGGTGATAATTTAAACATATGCCCATGCCTAGCCTAAAAGTGGCTAAGAAATGTAATGTTGCTGAACAGCTATGTCCAGGTTTTTTTTCTCTCTTTTAAGAGATATGGTCTCTTTTAAGCAACTGATGAAGCAAAATTTTTAAAAGATTAAAAAAGAGAAAAAAGAAAAGAAAAAAAAGAAGTCTGGTGTCACTCAAAAAAAAGAGGTATGGTGTCACTCGGTCACCCAGGCTGGAGTGCAGTGGTGCAGTCACAGTTTACTGCAGCCTCAAACTCCTGGGTTCAAATGATTGATCCTCCTGCCCCCAACCTTTCACATACTAGGACTACAAGTGCATGCCACTACACCTGGCTAATTTTTAAATGTTCTATAGAGATGGGGTCTCACTTTGTTGCCCAGGCTGGTCTTAAACTCCTGGCTTCAAACTATCCTCCTGCCTCAGCCTCCCAAAGGGCTGAGATTACAGACATGAGCCACCATCCCCTGCTCATGCAAAGATTTTTAATTTTTTTTACCAAGATAAAAAGCCAGAATGGATTTTGAGAGGTAGGTATCAGTTCCTGCCAAGGTGTCTGTCACTTATGTTAGACACTTTCTTAAAATGTCTACTGTTCTTTGAATGTTTTTTATATTTGAAAGTCAGGAAAAGCTGTTTGTTAGATGTGTGTGAATGGATGGGACTAGTTAACTGGTGGCTTCATTTGAGAGGAATTGGGAAGGAACCTCTTCATTTGGGGACTTCTGTAACTCCATATGTATAATTCTTCCCACTGAGTTTCTCCAGTGAGAAATATTCCAGCCACCTGACTTCAGGCTATAGGCCTTGAGTGCATGCTGAGAACTGGGTGGGGGGAAAGGATTGGGAGCGAGGTGACTGTCTCACCATTCAGCATACAGACTTTCACTTAATTTTTCTCATCAATCCAACAACATACTTCCTCTTTCCATTTTAATTTCTCCAAAAAGTAAACTGCCCATCTTCTTCAGGAATGGAGGAGGATAGGCATCTGGAGGTGCATGTGGGGGATGGGACGTGGAAGAACTAACTGTTCCCTAAACCTGTTTTCAATTAATTCCTCCTGTTTTTTGTTTCTTATCCCCACTCATAACTTCAGTGGTACCCGAATCCTCTATTTTTGAAGACGTTTTGCTTCTTGTCTTCTCCTTTTACAGATAGTTTTAGTATCTTCTCTGCTAAGTCAATTACTACTCACATGTGCACATTCCATCTTCCACAGTTTTACTGCCATCTCTTGTCTGTTATTCTTTTTCTTTTCATCTTTGTGCTTTTGTAGCTTTTCTTGTTTTTATGGCCATTTGGTAGGTGTCACAAGGGAGCAGAGTTAAGCATGGATTCAGTTTGCCACAATTTGAGTCCTTGCTGCTTATCGTGTGTGTGTGTGTGTGTGTGTGTGTGTGTGTGTGTTGTTTTCTGTTTCTGAGAGAGTCTCACTCTGTCGCCCAGGCTGGAGTGCAGTGGTGCAGTCATAGCTCACCGCAGCCTTGACCTGCAGGCTTACATGATCCTCCCACCTCAGCCCCTTAAGTATGGTAGCTGGGGTGACAGGTGCATGCCACCATGCCCGGTTAACTTTTTTGTATTTTCGGTAGAGATGGGGTTTCGTCAGGCTGCCCAAGCTAGTCTCAAACTCTTGGGCTCAAGCCTTTTTGATAAGATAATTTACAATGTTTAGAATATCTTTAGCGAATAGAGATTTAATTTGTACATAGCTCTGTTGCCTTTCTCTGTTTAATCTGTCTATTTTTGTATATAGGATACCCTCTTTATTGCTCTCTTTTTTCCCTTGGCATTATATGTGCCAGTACCACTTGGCTGTCAGTCATTCATTGATTCATTCAGGAAGGATCTATTCATTCTGCCCTCCTGGAGCATTCTAAGTTAAAAAGACTGTTGATCTACTTTATCTTATATTTATATGGCCTATCATACTTTTGAACAAAATTAACGTTGCCAAGATAACATTAACCATCCTTTTTACTTTCAGTCTACCTATGTTGTATTTAAGGTGAATTCCTTATGAACAGCATATAGTTGGTTCATGTTTTTATATCCACTCTGCCAAACTCTGTCTTTTGATTGGTATACTTAGATTATTTACATTTAAAGTATTATTTTCTGTTTGTTTTCTTTATTTCTTGTTTCTTTGTCTTTTCTTGGCTTGTTTTTTGGTTTTTGGTTTTTTTTTTTGAGACAGGGTCTCACTCTGTTGCCCAGGCTGGAAGGCAGTGGTGTGATCACAGCTCACTACAGCCTCCACCTCCCAGGCTCAGGTGATCCTCCCACTTCAGCCTTTGAAGTAGCTGAGACTATAGGCACTTGCTACCACACCTGGATAAATTTTTTTTGTATTTTTTGTAGAGACAGGATTTCACCATGTTGCCCAGTCTAGTCTTGAACTCCTGGGCTTAAGCAGTCCTCCTGCCTCAGCCTCCCAAAGTGCTGGGATTATAGGTGTGGGCCACAGCACCTGGCCTCTTGGCTTTTTGTGAGCTGTCTGAACATTTTTTGCAATTCCATCTTGTTTTACTTATATATTTAAATATATAATTTGTAGAATGTTCTTGATGGTTGCCATTATTTATGAAAATATTCATTAGTGGCCAGGCATGGTGGCTCATGTCTGTAATCCCAGCACTTTGGGAGGCCGAGGCAGGTGGATCACCTGAGGTCAGGAGTTCAAGACCAGCCTGACCAACATGGTGAAACCACATCTCTGCTAAAATACAAAAATTATCTGGGTGTGATGGTGAGCATCTGTAATCCCAGCTACTCAAGAGGCTAAGCCACTGTGCCTGGCCTTGCTGCCACATTTTTAACACTTATAGCATGCTAGGCATTTTAAATGAAATTTTTCACTCTTGTCACTTAGGCTGGAATGCAATGGTGCAATCTTGGCTCCCTGCAATCTCCACCTCCCAGGTCTAGGCAGTTCTTCTGCCTCAGCCTCCTGAAAAAATTGGTGGGCAAACCTAGGTCTAACTCTGGGCTAGGTGAGGTGGCTCACGCCTGTAATCCCAGAACTTTGGAAGGCTGGGACAGGCAGAAGTCAAGAGTTCAAGACCAGCCTGGCCTCTACTAAAAATACAAAAATTAGCCAAGCATGGTGGCACATGCCTGTAGTCCCAGCTACTCAGGAAGCTGAGGCAGGAGAATCGCATGAACCTGAGAGGCAGAGGTTGCAGTGAGCTGAGATCATGCCATTGCGTTCCAACCTGGGTGACAGAGCAAGACTCCATCTCAAAAGAAAAAAGAAAAAAAAAACCCTAGGTTTAACTCTAAAGCACATGCCTTAAAATGTAATATGTTACTTTGTTAATATTATTTTTATGATGTAGATTTTTGTATTTAAAATTATAATTTAATGTATTTTTTCTCATTTCCTAGGTTTTGATGATGATGGTTCAGAATTTCATGAGCATATATTTCTGGAGAAACACCTGGAGGGCTTTCCAAAACAAGGACCAATTCGCCACTTCATGGAGCTGGTGACTTGTGGCCTTTCCAAAAACCCGTATCTTAGTGTTAAACAGAAGGTTGAGCACATAGAGTGGTTTAGAAATTACTTTAATGAAAAACAGGACATTCTAAAAGAAACTAACGTACAATTCAATTAAGACCATGGAAATTTTATTTCAAACAATTAGAGATGGATATTACAACTAAATAAAATAATTTTACTAGTTTGTATATGTTGTGTTGATTATTACATTTGATTTGGCTGGTATAAGTGTTACATTGTTTTAAAAAATACGGCAACTGAAAAATATTCTTGCATGGGGAAAATCAGTATTCACATGTAATTATTACATATAATTACATATTATAGAGAATATATATAGAATATATATTATAGAGTATATATATATTTTGGAGAATATATATATTCTCTATAATATAATATATAGTCTCTATGATATGTAATTATATAACATTTTTCATATTCATATTAAACAAGTATATTTATGAATATATACATAATTATGTGTATGTATTATATATTTATGTATGTAGTTACATAATTTGTGTACAATCAGTCCTGTTCCTGGGAAACACTACCAAAAAAAACCTTGCAGATAAGGGCTGGGAAACAAGTACAGAAATGATCAAAACAGTGCAAATCAGGGGAGAATGTGCCCAACACCTGGAGAACTGATAATAAATTGTGGTATATCCATGCAGTGGAGCACTATATGGAAGTGAAAATGATTGAAATAGAGCTATACACATCATCAGAGATGAATTTCAGAAACAATGCTGAGTGAAAAAGTAAGTTGCAGCAGAATGCATGTAATATAATAGTATTTTGTAAAAATCAAAAGCCAAATTTTGAATATACTTTCTTAGCTATAAATGTGATAAACTATAAAGAAAAGCACAAGAATGATCAACATAACAGGGTGATTGAGGAGGGTCATAGGGACCTCTACACTTATCATTCTGTTCCTCAAGTTGGATGTCAGGATCACAGGTGGTCATTTCATCATGCTTTTGTGTATTCTCATTATATGATGAATGTATTATAATTATAATATGTTAATATACATGGTCTACCTATTTTGTGTGTAGCAGTGAATGGAAATGGGCACGTAATGAAGATACGCAGTGCTTAGCCATCAGGTGAGTCTCAGAATTATCAGATTCCAAGATAATTCCTGTACAAAAACAAGCAAACAAAGGGCTTGTGATCTAAAATGAAAAGACCATCCATATTTGAGTTGAGATGATTAAATAGGAAATCCTTCTTTAAAGGATGGCATATGTTACATGCTTGGAAGTGTTTTGAAGCAGAAATTGGTTGTGAATAAATCTTCTCCTTATTAATAAAATATAAGCTTGTTTTTAATGTCAGATTATCCCTGCCGAGAAATTAAAAACCTTGGAGGTAGGCCAGGCATGGTGGCTCACGTCTGTAATTGCAGCACCTTGGGAGGCCAAAGCAGGCAGATCACTTGAGGCCAGGAGTTTGAGACCAGCCTGGCTAGCATAGTGAAACCCCATCTCTACTAAAAATACAAAAATTAGCCAGGCATGATGGCAGGCACCTGTAGTCCCAGCCACTTGGGAGGCTGAGGAAGGAGAATCACTTGAACCCGGTGGGTGGAGGTTGCATTAACTGAGATCTCACCATTGCACTCCAGCCTGGGCGACAGAGCAAGACTCTGTCTCAAAAAATAAATAAATAAATAAAGGCTGGTCATGGTGGCTCACACCTGTAATCCTAGCACTTGGGAGGCTGAGGCAGGTGGATTGCCTGAGCTCAGGAGTTCGAGACGGGTGAAGCCCCGTCTCTACTAAAATACAAACAACTAGCTGGGTGTAGTGGCATGTGCCTGTAGTCCCAGCAACTCAGGACGCTGAGGCAGGAGAATTGCTAGAACCTGAGAGGTGGATGTTGCGGTGAGCTGGGATTGCACCACTGCACTCCAGCCTGGGCCACAGAGTGAGACTCTGTCTCTTAAAAAAATAATAATTAATTAAATTAAAATTAAAATCCTGGCTGGGCGAGATGGCTCATGCCTGTAATTCCAGCACTTGGAGAAGCCGAGGCAAGATCAGGAGTTCGAGACCAGCTTGGCCAACATGGTAAAACCCCATCTCTACTAAAAATACAAAAATTAGCTGGGTGTGAGGGCAGGCACCTGTAGTCCCAGCTACTTGGGAGTTTGAGGCAGGAGAACCCAGTAGGTGGAGGTTGCAGTGAGCTGAGATTGCACCATTGCACTCCAACAATTAAACTAAAAATTAATTAATTAAAATTAAAATCCTGGCCGGGCACGATTGCTTATGCCTGTAATCCCAGCACTCTGGGAAGCCGAGTTGAGGTCAGGAGTTCAAGACCAGCCTGGCCAACATGGTAAAACCTCGTCTCTACTAAAAATACAAAAATTAGCTGGGCACAGTGGCAGGCACCTGTAATCACAGCTACCCTGGAGGATGAGGCAGGAGAATCGCTTGAACCCAGAAGGTGGGGGTTGCAGTGAGCTGCCTGGGTGACAGGGCAAGACTCCATCAAAAAAAAAAAATCCTGGAGGTGGTATTACCTATAACCTCGATCACTTATTAATCAACAGAAATTTAATCCTTGATTTTATAATATCTTTCTGTAGAGTTTTGTTTTGGTTTTGCTTTGTTTTCAGAAAAGAGAGGTGCATTTACTCTCGTAGTCGGATGACCATTGGTATTTTAACAGATAAGACATTTGCTGAGAATTCCTTAAATTTTCCTAAGTTTTCACTAGCTGGTGATAACATTGTCCCTTTTTTGCAGGTAGCTTTGAAAGATGGTGATACCTCCACAGTTGGGACCGTGTTGTTCAAAGCATCCTTTGGCCATTTACACATGTGGTTCTAAAGAATGTATTATCTTTTTTTCTTTTTAGAAGGAGTCTCGCTCTGTCACCCAGGCTAGAGTGCAGTCTGCAGTCTCAGCTCACTGCAACCTTCAGTTCCCAGGTTTGAGGAATTGTCCTGCCTCAGCCTCCCGAGTAGCTGGGATTACAGGCACTTACCACCATGCCCCGCTAATTTCTGTTATTTTTAGTAGAGGCAGCGTTTCACCATGTTGGCCAGGCTGGTCTCCAGCTCCTGACCTCAAGTGATAACCCCCGTCTTGGCCTCCCAAAGTCCTGAGATTGCAGGCATGTGCCACCTCGCCTGGCAAGAATATATTATCTTAAGACTCTTGTCTCATTACTATTGTTAAAATTGCTCTAAAACTCGCCTAAGTAATCAGCTTTAAATTATGTAAATACAGACACCAAAACTCTCTTAATTGTAAAGGTGTTTTTAAAATTCAGGCATTTATGCATATATGCAAATTGGCTACAAATTGGGAAGATTTTATTCTAAGTAGCCGAATCTTAAGGAGCTAAAGCCAACCTGATTTATAAAATACATTAATTCAAGGACTAAGCAATTTCTGAAAATAGACTGATTTACCATGCTTCTTAATGTTTTCTCAAACTAGAAAACGAGTGATGGTGGCAGAGGGAGGAAGTAGCTCATACGTGGAAGAACAGACAGCTGCTGGAATATGCCTGTGGTTTAGAGCTTCTCTCAAAAACCCAGTTAGCTGCAAAAGAAAGAAGGACTGATCTTCACGATTCCAGTAACGTCTTTATGAAAACGCTCCTTTTGAATGTACTACAGAAAGTTAGAAAACACTTAGCCATGGTATCTGGCATAGTGCACCCAAGGGAGTGTTTTTCATATACAGACAGTCTGGGGCTTATGATGCTTTGACTTAACATTTTTCAACTTTATGATGGTTCTAAAGGCGATGCACATTCAGTAGAAACCGTACTTCAAGTCCTGATACAACTATTCTGTCTTTCACGATCTGGATGTTGTTCCCATAAATTATATGAGCTATTCCACACTTTATAATAAAACAGGATTTGTGTTAGATGGTTTTGCCCGACTGTATGCTAATGTAAGTGTTCTGCGTATGTTTAAGGTAGGCTCGGCTAAGCTCTGATGTTCAGTAGGTTAGGTGTATTAAAGGCACTTGATTTATGATGTTTTCTCTTCCCAATAAACCCATCGTAAGTCAAGAAGCACTTGTGTCTGATAGAGGTCTACCTTCACCAGTTTAAACTGACAAATTTAATGTTCTTGTCTTGCTTTTAAATTAGAGAGCAAGAGCAGATCTGAAATAAATACTGCAGGTAGCTTTGCGTTCTTCACTACTTAGTGAACAACTCAGAGGGCAAGGATGCAAAGAGAAATGCTCTGAGTGTGTCTTTGCTTGCCAGCTCCTGAATTGTGCGCAATTCTACACCGCTCCGAAGCAGGGAAGTGGGGCAAGATGGTTTACATCTCGAATGGACAGGTGTTGGACAGCTAGAGTCAGTCTCCATGGAGATTACCTTTGATAACAGATTTCTTCTGGGGAATAGGTGAGTTTATGGTTTTGTTTTTCAAAACTCTGCTTCAGCAAGATGTGAAAACAGAAGAAGCTATGGAAGCTCACCTGATTCCAGGTAGGATGATGGTGGAGGGCCACCGGGAAACCTTCCCCAAAGAATAGGTAGAATGAGTCATCCTTGTGGCCCCAGTCCTTCTCCAGTGGCTAGTGGATGAGGAAGGCAAATGTCTCCTCTAAAAAGCAGACAACTGGACGTGTGCATTCATAGCAGAAGGAAACCATCAAGAAGTCAAGGGCTGACCATGCTGGAGCAATAGATGAATGTGTATGTCTAAATAAGGACTGCTGTGTCCTCACAGATGAATGAGGTCATGCTGGGAATTCCCTCTGCAGGAAACTGGGTGACTGACATACAGTTCCATAAAGCACACATGTTTGTCTCATTACCTTTTTTGTACAGTTTGTTAAAGTATTAATATAGTTTTGATAAAATATTTTTAGGTTGCCAAAAAAAAAAAAACAATCCTGGCCGGATGTGGTGGCTCACGCCTATAATCCCCGTACATTGGGAGGCTGAGGCGGGCGGATCACGAGGTCAGGAAATCAAGACCATCCTAGCCAACAAGGTGAAACCCCGTCTCTACTAAAAATACAAAAATTAGCTGGGCATGGTGGCATGTGCCTGTATTCCCAGCTACTCAGAAGGCTGAGGCAGGACTATCGCTTGAACCGGGAGGCAGAGGTTACAGTGAGCCGAGATTGTGCCATTGCATTCCAGCCTGGGCGACAGTGAGATTCTGTCTCAAAAAACAAAAACAAAA